GTTTTTTTTTTTGCTAGTTTGTGTGGAGTCTCTCAGAGGCCCCTGGGCTCTGTTTTGTTATACCATCCATCCATCCATTTTCTGTACACGCTTCTTCCTTTTCAGGGTCGCGTGGGTCACTGGTGCCCATATCCAGCAGTCACAGTGCGAGGGGCGGGGTACACCCTGGACAGGTCGCAAGTCCATNCGCGTGGGTCACTGGTGCCCATATCCAGCAGTCACAGTGCGAGGGGCGGGGTACACCCTGGACAGGTCGCAAGTCCATCACAGGGCCACACATAGAGACAAACGAGACAAACAAGCATTCACTCTCTCACTCACACCTAGGGACAATTTGTACTTTTCTGATAAAGCCTTGTATGTGCACTGCTGGAACTGATTAGAGTCAGAGACTGACATAAAGTTTTTAGATCCAACTGGTTTTCTGCTACATTATTCACACTTACATTTATTGTTCATAAATTCCCTTCAAGCTTTAATGAGAGTTTTTTGCAACTTGTGTTTTGAAAAGACAACATCTGTTTAGATTTATGAGAAAATGAGGATGGAGTTTTGTGAATGGTTTTGGCAAATGGGGGGCAATTTTATAGTGAACTGATCATTTGGTTTAGAAATGGTTTTGTTTCAGAAACAGTGAAAAACTGTGAATAAAAAATACTTAAAGGTTGGGATACTTGTCTGAGATGTTATAAAAATCGGACCCATCAAATTTTAGCTCCAGGACTTCTTCCTGTTTTGTTATTTCACAATTGTAAAGAACTAAAAAAAGTCTGTCTTGTTTTCTCAAGTTGTAATCCCTTTATTTTTCTTACATTTGTAAAATGAGGGCCCACCAGTATGTTGTGTGATTTGAAACAATTTTTTGTTTGTTTTTTATAGATACAATGTAAAGCAGAAAATATACAACTTTATGGCCAGTTTTACATTTCAATCCCTGCCAGTATGGCTGCACACAATGTTAGACATGTGTGCTTCTGTGTGAGTGTTGTTAAAAGTGTGGGAACTGTAGAGGAGGTGGAATATTTATGGCTTTGTATTGGCTCCCATCATTTCCTCAGCTGGAAATGATAAGAGTCTGTTTGTGTCCTCCCAGTTGCTGACTGGTGTCGTTAACTGAAACGGATCATGGAGGTGGAGGTTACTTGTTCGAGCACAAGAATGAGACCAATGAATACCATACGACTAATAACACGATGATAACACTCTCAGAATGATACAGATATTTTGTTTTCATTTTATTCTCTCACTATCGATGTGTCACTGTGTGTATTGGCGGGCGCAATGACAAATTTCTAAATGTCACTGAAAGTGTCGGCCAGGCTAAGGCTGCAGATGGTTTCAAACGTTCTGATGTTTTTCCACCAATAAAGAAAAAAAAAAGATAAAATGAAACCATTTCCACTCACACTGAATGATTTATGAGAAATCACTGTCACTGTACCCTGAGCATAAATCCTGATAGTTCTGACAAGTGGTGATGCCATTTATTTATCGAGCGTCATTGCTCAGCAGAGATCACCAAATTCGACAAAAAAAAGTTTGTTAAAATAGTTTCACCATTTTTCAAAATCAGTTTTAATCTAAGAGCATTTTAATCTATTTTAATTTCAGAGCAAGTCCAAAAAACTAGACTTTTACCAGATGTAGCACTCAAGCTAACTAACTAACTAACTAACTAACTAACTAACTAACTAACTAACTAACTAACTAACTAACTAACTAACTAACTAACTAACTAACTAACTAACTAACATTAATCTACAATTCAAAAACTGAATGTGTGTGAATAGGGCTTCCTACGTCCCCCTGGTAATAAATTTTAATTTTTCAGGTAAAAGTAAACTTTAAAAAACTGGTATGCAATGATTGGTTAGGAAATACAAATATGACAAAATACTTTAAAGTGCTGCAGTGTAAAAACTTAGCAGCGTGTGACCTTTCAGTGGTCAAAACTCAAACAGAAACCTTGGCAGTATCTGCTCAAAAGATAAGCAATATCCATCTGGAAGCTGTAACGTCATTCTTCTTTCTTTCTTTTTTTTCTTACAACTCTTCTTATTTGTTCTCTGTCCACAATAAATTAATAAGTACATGACTTTATACAGTGTTACCCAGAGCCAGACTAGTTTCCTTTCCTGCATCCAGCCAAACTTGGCCACGCATGTCCTGACTCTGTTTCTGTGGTTTGTATGAAAACCTGTGGGGCTACAAGTAAATAAAAATGCTAAATATTATCTGTAGGATTATCGAGGAGGTGTGAGGTCAGACTCTTATCGATGTTTCAGTGTACACAGCATGAATCTCCAGCTAAAATCTGCAACACAAGCTGTCACTCACGTCGGACCAAAAACTGTATGTATTTCTGAAAAAGAGAAGCGCTTTTTCAGAAACCTCCTGGTTTAAAAATCTGATCTACTGCAGAATTCATTTAGTCAGATAAAAATAACACATTTGTGGAAGCTGTTACTGTGCTTTGAAAACCAAAAACTATAAAAAAAAAAACTAAAAAAAATAAAAATAAAACTAAAGACGGTCAGTGGGAGGTTGTGTCCTTTAGCTTCTCCTTGTACTTTTATTTGCAGGAATCAAGATTCTTGAATTTTTGTTAATCAACCAAGGGCCTAACTTTAGGTCCATTGGTGGTGGTGGTGGTGGTGGTGGTGGTGGTGGTGGTGGGGGGGTTATGCTCTCTGCAAATTCATTTATTTATGAAATCATTTACTTTTGTAAAATGTTTCAGGACGTTGATCAGGATACATTGTAATGCTTTTACTGTAACTTTCCTGTTTTTTTTATTTCCTCCTCACCTTTTCTGTCTGTTCAACAATTACAAAAAGACTTACTTTTTTCCCAACAGTAACAAATATGTAAAATGTTAAGGATATACTGTATATGACATACCTAAACTTCTCACTTTTCCAAAAGTATGTATTTACCTGGTGCACTACAATGTCCCTATAGGGCAAATTACAATGCATGATTCAACAAATACAGACATGGTGTGACAAAAGCAGACTAAAACCCTGCAAGTCATTTTCAGCAATTATATTTTAACGTACATATAGGACATTGTAAATTTTGACATCAGGTCAAAGTTACCTAAAGACAAGAAGAGTTGCAGCTGTGTACTTAACCAGTTCAGTTCTATTGTGTTAGAGCAAGTTATGGGGATTATATCGATTGATCAAATTATTGTAGAGGTCCTAACCCCATAAATTACGCCCATGTAATCAATACTAGTTTTCTGATAACTAATAGAGTTGTTATCATTGATGGCTTTTGCTGCATTTGTATCCTTTATTTGTCACAAGTTGCACCATTTTGTTTTAAACTTGTGTTGTGTTTAGCAACCAGCAGAAGGAAACACTTATGGTAGCAAAAAAAGTAGGTTTTTATATACATTTATATAATTTATTGAGTTACTTTTCGAAGGATTATGTCCCACATGTTTAATTATTCAAGATGATGCCAGTGACATTATAAAACAAATAGTCTTCAAAGCTACATCTGCAGTATCAGCTTGATATCTATAGCAGTGATTCCCAAAGTTGGGGTCAGGACCCCTCTGTGGGTCATGAAATATTAAGTGAATGTCACCAGATGAGTTCCAATCATCACTTTAAATGCAAATAAAATTGTTTACGGAATTAATTCACCATAATTATTTCAAACAAAAAATAATAAATAAATAAAAGTAGCATCATAGTTGTTAGGTTTGCCTATTATTTTATATTATTACAATATTATTATTCCCATGTTTATCAAAATCAGAATCAAGCTTTATTGGTCATGCACGCTTACACGTGCAAGAAATTTGGTTTTGGTAGTGGTAGCTCAGATTGAATATAAGAATAACAAACATTATGCGTACTGGGTACATTATAAAAAAGAGAGAAGATGAGTAAAAATTATACAAATAAAGTCTGTTGTTCAGGAGAGTGATCGTAATATAAAAGAGTTATTAGAAAAGTTTTTTGGGGGGCCAGAAGCTAAAACGTTTGAAAACCACTGGCCTATAATGTAGTAAACAATATAATTCATGGCAGTTTCATCTCTGAACATTATAAAAATGTATTACTTGCTCACAACCTAACAACGTGACCTTATTTGTTCATCAAAAAGCAGTTTGTAAAATCCTTGTATGCGTACGTTAAGAAGCCAAGCCTCTGGGAGCTCTGGGAACGGAAGCCCCCCACTCCCACCCTTTCATTTAACATCTTGTTTCACATGAGACACTCAGTGAGGTCAGCTCATCATTCTTGTTCCCAGGCTTTCCTTAAAGTTTTCCTCCCAAGAGGAGCATGTTGCGTTCCTTTAGTCACCCCTCCCTCCCAACAACACACACACACACACATACTGTACCTTACAGTGTTTCTAACTATCACAAGTAATAGCTTATAGGCCCAACTTTATTTATACAACCAAGCTGGGCACATCGAGTTGCACAGATGTATTAAACAATAATAAAAATTTGATTTTACTTCAGAACTGTCCATGTGTGCTTCAAAAATGTTTAGTTGATGTGAAGCTGAAAGCAGAATTTCTTGTCGTGTGTGTGTGTGTGTGTGTGTGTGTGTGTGTGTGTGTATGCTTGCCTATTTTAGAAGTTGGCCAGTCATCATCAGTAGAGCAGTGAAGGAAGTGGTGGTTACAGATGACTCAGCCAAGCTATGTGTTTCACTCCCCTCCTCCCCTCATCATCTGCCTTTCTCTCTGCATTCTATTCATTCCTCTTTTCTATTCTGGATCTTGATTTTTATGTTTTACTGTCTCTCTTTGMATCTCAACCCCCCCATCTTTGCTCTCTTCCTATGATTCATCCCGACCTTTTGGAGGTTTCTGTGGATGTGGATGTGTGTTGTGTTTTGGGTTGTGTGTCTGTGTCAGTTCAATACTACGAAATGTGAGTGGGAAGATAGCTGGCTTGCCTCAAAGTGATTAAAATGTTCCTTTTCTCTTCTTTTTTTTCCTCTTGCTCTATCTTTCTTTGTGCTTCTCAGTGTTCATCGAAGACTTTCTGATGAAGGGAAGGATGAAGATAGACAGTTTGGTAAGTACCACCATGATTTCTTTCCTTCAGCGTTGGCTTCTGTTCTTAAATTGAAGAAGGAATGCAACGTAAAAAATCAGTGTAGTCACAGCTTGGGCTCAAACGTTCTTTGGTTTGGTATTTTTATTCATTGTGGTGAAGTTAAAATAACTGACATTCATTCAGAAGATATAAGAAAATATAAGGTTAAAAACAGAAAAAAAATCAAACAATAGATGGAAAATATTGGACATTTTCTGAACTAAATGGGACATGGTTACAAGAGTGCTTTTTTCTTTTCTTTCAGCTTTCCTAAAACCATTGATTTACTTTACTTTATTTAACGATGTATGAAAATAAATTGCACAACTGAAACAGAAATCTGACTATTACAGAAAAGGACATAACAGGAAATATAACGTATAAGTTTATTGTGGATAATCCCTGGTCCACTGTTAGAACACCTACAGTGTTCTCAGCTTCATGGCGATCAGCTGAGTTGTGGCAAATATCGGTGAATATTTGCTACCAATCTTTTCCACGCTTAACTTAGTGACATGAATTTGAATTTGTATTCTGGTTACGCAGATCGTACTTTGAAGGACTAGAGTGAAAGTAATGGTGTTGAATTTCCTGGTGATTTCACATCCCCTGCTGTCGGATGAATAAAAATATATAAACAGTTACATCTCAGGAGCATTTCAACCACTTTGATTGATTGGCACACAGTATTTTCTAACAGACATTGGTGGAAGGTTCTTAGTCTTTAATGATGATACTTTATTTTTAATGTGTGTCAAACACACACGGTTTGAATCAATGAAAAGTCTTGTTTTGACTGAGCTAGAAATATGCGATGACTGTTTTTTCGCTGACCCATGCTATTGTGTTTTACGTATCAAACGCACAGCAGTTCTTAAAACCTTTTAAAGTGAACCATATCGGCTCTGCGTAGTATCATAACAATACTTAGCATCCATATGCAGCTCAGCTTTTGGCTGCCTTAAAACTGCAAATGTGAGAATGTTTTAGCTGACTGTGTGAATCGTTTGTCTCGGCACAACAAATCCCAATTTAGATTTGATAGGGTTGTTTATTTTTTAACTGGACCATCTGGTTTCTTGTGTGTTTCATTCCCAATTAACTAAAAATCAAAAACATAATTTCACAAAAAATTGCACAAACTTTGGCTACGTTTACACTGCAGGCAAATGTGACCCAAATCAAAAACGTTTTTTTGCCCCAGGCCTCCCATAGCAGATTTTTTTAATGACAGTCTGACAGTGACAAATACAATTTTTTTGTATGTGGTACAGAATCAGATACACATCTGATGTTTTTCAATGCGACTGCAGTTTGAACGCTTGTGTCACATCACATTTGATTTTTACATCAGTAAGGTGGGTGTGAGTGGATCGATCCAATAATAATGACACTAATAGTGAGCCATGCAGTCCAGTTGCTTCTGCTTCATACTTTTAATTTTCTATTTCCTGGATGACAGAGAATCTGCAAAAAACACGATAGAAACCTTGTTGGATCGCATCGACCCTAAAGTTACTCAGTCAATACTTTGTTTCCAGCTCTTTGCTTCTTTCCAAAAATAAAAAGCTTAACCGGAGCAGGTTCAGAAATAAACACTGTACTAAAAAAAACATGTCAAATAATTATTTAATCGGCTCTGATTGAACCACAACTTCAGAACTGACATGCTAACAAGTAGCATCCATGTTTAGCTAAATCTGTAAACAGTGAGTTGAATGTGACATCATGTTATCATCTTCCTTTATGGGTTGCATCAGGGCTGTGGAGTGTTCCCATTGCAGTCTGATGGAAGTTGCATTGAAAATATAATGTGAATGTTCATGCCAAAAAAATCTTATTTTTTCAAAAAATCAGAATTGAGCATTAAGACCTACAGCATAAATGTAGCCCTTAAGGTGATGTTAGCATACCTTTCCATTGCTAGACTGGTTTTGATGATTGAAACTAAACAATGTTGACTTCAGTTTGGTGTCATTTACATTTGTTTGACTATACAGGCTCCATTAGTGAAAAACCTCCTTTTTTATTTTTACGTGACATTTCTGTTGAAGTGTGTTATGCTGGGAGCGTAACGTTTTGATATTTATGTGTCCCAGAGACAATTAGGCCAATGGTTTCATCAATGAGTTGTAAAATTATTGTATCTTCGAGTGTAGTGTGACTGGGTAAAGGTGTCCTATTTCTTTTTTGATGTTTAATTAATAAGGTTATCTTGGCTGACATACTTATTAACTGAATAAACTAAATTTGATGGCATATACACATTTCCCATCACACTTCCTACATCTGGGCACTGCTTCACCATCCCTTTAGTGAATCTACGTGAAACACCAATAAAGGTTGTGTACTGTTGGGCTGAAAGTTGCTCAAACAAAGCAAATAAATCACTGAGGCAAAGTTTTGATTATATACTCATGTGGAGAAAGCATGAAGGCAAACAAACTTTGCAATTTAGCACTGAGCGTCATTGAGTGTTAAAGACAATTTATCTGAAACTGCAAGGATTTGCTGCAATCATTAAACTTAGGGTGTAATGTGTGATTCTTTAGTTTAGAAATAAAGCCTAAATTATGAAATCCAAAGACACATAGTAACATTCATGTAAAAAACAACAAACACTTGTAATCGGAAGGTGTCCACACATCTTTCACACAGCTACTATTGCTTTGGTTAAGCATGTCCAAACATTTTAATGAATTCACTTCCTGCACAGTGTAGGCACTTTTCTTGTAAATTACATAATTCACTCTGCAGTGGCGACCGTAGGGAGCGACCCCAACTCATCACGCATTTTAGCCATGTTCACCTTGTATGGCTCAGTCCCAATGAAAGTAATTCTTTCTTCCAGTTTCTTCAAGGAGACACGGCCTAATGTGTCTCGTTAAAGTTTGTACGCATTTTCAGAAGCCAAACTTGATGAGAATTTACAAAAAAAAAACAAAAAAAAAACAAAAAAAAAAAACAATGGGGCACCAGAAATTCTTTGGTAAAGATAGTGGAATTTAGCTTTAGCCTGCTCTGTTTGGCAATCTGAAATCCAAAACGTATTTGCCACTCTGAGGTCGACACACATCTTTGGATTGGTATAAAATGTTGCTCTGAGTGTACTTGACTTCTAATAGGACTTATGAATTATACTTCACTTGTAAAGTTGTGAAACAAAGACAAAAATATTCTATGCACTGTGGTTCTTGCCATTGCTTAAGTGGGCCTGTCTGAAAAATGTCAGGAACATTAATGCAAAAGGGAATGAGCAAACGTCCTCACTTTACCAGACTTATAATATTGTGAACTGAATGTCTGAAATGGGCTATAGAAAACCTTAAATCTATCAGTGAGACGATTGAAACTATGCACCACTTTTGAGCTCCTGTTGTTTCAATGAAGGTACAGGGTCTGGTTTTAGCCAGGCTAGTAGAATCTTATCATTGCGCTGTTTTTGCCTCAGTTTTGCCCAGTTAGTTCCCCTGAACATTTGATTCACTGGTTTACAGTTCCTCATTCAATTCCATTGTGTGGAAATAAACTGATTTGTCCACTGTCCATTCAAAGAATTGATGCCAGTTTTGTATACTTTTTAAACTATATACTACATATCAAATATATCTCTAAATGTGATCAACTACTTTTCTTACTAGTGGAAGTATGAAATAATTAAGGGGGGTTATGACTCCTGCATGGTCCCTCACATCTGAGTGGATGAACAAACCAATAATTGATTTCCAATCAGAAAGTGTTGATATTTGTCGACAATATATTTTACATTGTGGCGATAATTTGACCATGTTTGAATGTAACGTATCAAGTTCATTCAGTTCGAAACCAAAGTGACAGTGAAGTATCAAAACCGCCAGTTAACACTTTTCAAAATGAACAGCTGAGCGAGGTAAACAAACTACATGGATGCTATTACGTCACTAAAGTTTGTAACTGAAGAAGAGACCATTTGTGAAGGAGGCACTTTAAAAGTGTTGCCAGGCAAACAGCCCAGAAATCCTTCTGTCAGGCCTGTGCTAATATCTTTCTAAACTTTTAATGATATTATGAAAAAAACATACCTAAAACAGTTTGATTTTGTTGTTTGGAGTGGACTATAATTTGACTTTAAAAAAGTCCACCTTAAATCAACATAACTGCAGAGTTGGCAGATAGACAGAATGTGTGCACTTTTTTGAAAGGTTTGCCAAAGGTGTCCGTTTTTGTAAATTATCACAAGAAGGTTCAATCACATACATACACACATTACAGATATAAAGTGCACTCACACCCACCGGTGTGCCAGCCTTGTTCCGTCAAAGCCCCCCCCCGTTTACGGTAACTGTGTGTTTTTGTCGTCTGGATGAAGTGATGCTGTTAGTTTTGGTATCAAGTCCAACCAGGCTGTGCATCTCCACACCGAGAGATTTCGAGAGTAGTGCAGCGGTGGTTGGGTGTAGGAGGGCTGACAGATATGACTCAGCTCTCTCTGTTACCGGGCAGAGAAACTTCTCCCACCCCCATACAAATAATAATAATAAAAAAACTTTACCTTTTTTTTCCTGTCATTCACCTCTTACCTAAAGTATGCAGAATTTAAAATGTAAACTACAGATTAGAGTCTGGCAAAAATACAGAATGAAAGAAATATCTTACAATGTAAAATCTCTACTGCACTTTTGTTAAACTATAAATACATTTTGTTGTACCTACATGAAAATTCAAACAGATATTCAAATGGTGGCATGGTATTTTCATTATCATGCAAACCAAAAATTTCTAAAATACATTTTTCCTGTTTTACAGCAATGAGCTAATGCAAAATAATATAACAAGAAAGCTGCAGTAATATTTTTATGGAATTTTCTCTCAAAATAACACATTATAGGTTTATAGTTTTGTCAGCAGTGACATAAAAAAATGTTATTAACACTAATTGCCAGAAAGAAGTCTTTTTCTCTACCATGATCAATGAGACATTTTTTTCTTGATGCTGCATT